AAAATATTGTTAGACATACTTATTTTTTCTTTAGGTTTTGTAATGTTTGATTGCTTTAAGTATGTGAGGTGTCCTTCCTACCTAGAAAAATGTATTTGTTCAGAACTTCTATTTTCAAGAAAGTTCTAGGAAAAACTTGTCATCTACTGTAATGCCTAAAGTCGGCAGAATGAATTGCTGTGGATTTCTTAGGATTTCTGTGAAATGAGCCGTGTTTCTAAATTGAGTATTCATCGGAATCACCTGAAGATCTGGTTAAACACAGACTTCTGGGCCCCTCTCTCAGAGTTTCTGAACCTGCGAGTTTGGAGTGGGCTTCACAACTTATCTCTAACAAGTTCCCAAGTAATGCTGATCCCAACCACCCACTGACAGCCCGTGTTGTGAAGTGCCGTATAGTCTGGGTCATTCTTTTGTCTGAATGCTTTCCTAAAGCTAGCAGAAATATAATGTTCTGGTGACATAACAGGACTGGTCATCATTTCACAACTAAAATGATTACAGATCTTCATTCTCTGAAGAGAAATTCAGAGATTAAAAAGATGTAGCAAGAAGTAGACTCACCAGCTTCTTGGACATTTAACCAGGAAATATTAATGATGCCCTGCCCCCTATCACCTTTCAGCCAAACAATAGTCCTACGAAGTGCACAGTAACACCCTGAACAACGTATTCCTCAGAGCAGCCAACACTCAGACCAAGAGGAACGCATTTCCCCAAAGCAAAGGTCAGGAGGCCAGCGGAGATTGGAGAGAAGGCTGAATGGAAGCAAGGCGCTCAATGGTCACTTGAAGAAGAGGATGTAGCCATGGAACTTGGTTATCTATTGCCAGTGGGACTGTAAAATAGGACGACCACTGGGAAAAGTGATGGCGGTGGTCCTCAAAATGTTGGAAATGGAAATACCACATGACCCACCAATCCATCCACTTAGTATATGCCTGGAACAGTGGTTCTCGACCTGTGGGTCACAACCCCTTCAGGGGGCCTAACGACCCTTTCAGAGGGGTCGCCAGATTCATAACAATAGCAAAAGGACAGTTATGAAGTAGCAACGAAAATAATTTTATGGTTGGGGGGGTCACCACACCATGAGGAACTGTATGAAAGGGTCACGGCATGTGGAAGGTTGAGAACCACTGCCCTAGAGAAATAAGAGCTACAATACAAACAGATAAATGTCTGTCCATGCTGATCCCAGCACGATTTCAAATCGCAGGCTAAATCAGTAACAGAAGAAACCCACAATGGAATGCTGCACAATATTCAAGAATCATGATGTTGAGAATGATGAGGGCAATGAATGCACAAATGTGCTTTACACGCTTGATGTATGTATGAATTGTGATAGGAGTTGTATGAGCCCCTAATAAAACGATTAAAAGAACAATAGGAAAACAAGTCAGATGGCACAATAATAAAGGAAATTCAAGTTTTGGAGGTAAAAAAACCAAACATGATGCAGCTGCAAAAACATGTCATAACATGAATGACCCTAGAGGGCGTGATGCTGAGTGCAATAGTCAACCACAAACAGACAAATACTGACATGTGCCACATGGGCCTTGTACTGTGAAAAGTCAAGAAAAGCTTTCCATATTAGAAGAACTATCTTCGATGGTTAGCAGGGGCGGGAGGAGAAGGGAAGGTAAATTTCTGGCTTGAAATGTGTTGACTTGGGTGAAGGGGAAGACAACATACAATAAGAGGATAGTCAACAACAAAAACGACGGAGGGGGGAAGACATGGAGAGGAGTGCAGAAGTTACAGGCAACAGACACACGATCCTGCAGTAATGGTGATCTACGCGTAGCTACGCAAGCTGAACAGGTATGGCAGGGAGAGGGAGGAGCGTACACACACAAATATATATAGGTTTGACAGAGATATTCATGCGTATGTATTTAGCATTGCTGCAAATATATTTATGAATGTGGTGGTACATACAGGGACAGAGCTATGAAAAACATCTTTGATCTAACCAAGCCCCTTAGGGAGGGAGCTGCTGGGCCTGGGCATTGAGGGCCACAGTCTCAAACAACAACAATGTCAATTGGCACAGCAGAGTTCACGGAGACAAGGTTCTATATCCTTGCAACTAGGGTCTTAAAAGTTCCTAAGTGACCATCTAATGTCCAACTATGGATCTCTCCTTGTGGTGTGGGAAGAGCAGCGAAGAAGATGGAAAATATATGGAGTCAGTCTTTTGCATGAATAAACCACACAAACATCAGCCTCCACAACCCTCAGACCAGAAGAACTAGATGGTGCCCGGCTACCACTACCACCTGCACTGAGAGGTAACACATAAACAGTCCTGGATAAAGTGGGAGAAAAGTGTGGCACAACGCTCCAAATCATAAGAAGACCAAGCTTACAAGTCTGGTAGAGATTAGTTGAACCCCCAAGACTATGGCCCTTAGTCACCCTTTAGATCTGGAAGTGAACTTGCCCCTGTGGTTCAATTTTCAGGCAAACTATAGACAGGTCTATTAGGGGACCTGTAACTAGGGCACCCTGGTCATTTGTATGGCTTTTCCATTTGAGTCTTTCTAACTCCCACCAAATAACTGGGTAAAAACATGCAAATAGGATGTATGGGACTTTTGGTTAGGGTATTGGTCAATTTTGCCATCACGTTAGGTATAAAATGTGTCATCTTAGAAGAATGGGGAATCATCAAGACAGATGATGGCAAGAGGAGAGCACCCTTGGCCTCCAAGACGCCTGCAAGGAAGTGGCAGCAGAGGCAGTGGCACTGAGAGGACGAGAGAGAGCTGTGGGCTTCCAAACTCGCGGAATGAGTACTGCTAAGTGCATTCAGACAGGAGGCTAATTTTCAGAGCAAAGTGCCCTCTGGGTATTTATCAGCATTAAAGGAGCTTTTTAACATTGCCTGAGCAGAACAGAGGCTGAGGGGCCACAGGGCTGAAAGGCTGCGGACCAGAGAAAGGCGTGCCTGTAGGCACTACTGAGAAGAGGCTGTCCTGAGCAAAGAACCACTGTATCCTGACCACTTCTGATCCTAAATGGTAATCTGTTAGCTTCTCCAATAAACCCCATAATCGTGAGGATGGTCTGTGAGTCCTATGCAGCTCTTGCATCGGAAGACTGAACCCGGAACAGGACCACGGGAGAGAGCTACTGGGAGAGCTGGGAGAGGTAGAGGGTGGAAGTACATCTGACTCCTGCCTCACAGGAACTGGCTTTGGGCTAATGGGGATTCGCCTTCCCCCTTGTGTAGTCAGAGGAGGTCAGACGCCCCTCCAAACCAGTCTTGCAACGACACCTTAGAATAACCAGTCACTGAAAGCAAGGGGCCAGCATTTACTCAGGGACAAAGTGCAGAGGGGTGGGAAAAGAACCCAGGGTAGAAACAGGAAACCCAGAGAAGAAGTGGGATTCTCAATATAACACAGTGCGAATTGCAATCGATGAAGTGAAACAAAATGTGTATGGATTACTGAATAGAAAACTGATCTACTCTGTAAGCCACTCGATTCACAATAAAAAAAATTCTTTAAAACTATATATGCTAAATTCTACTAAGCAGAAAAACAAGTGAGGAGAATTCATAATTTTACTTGAAGTAGAATGGTATATGTTCTTTTCCTTTATTCTTTAACATAAAGCTGTTATAAGAGAAATATGAGTCAATCAAATATGAGAACAGGTGACCCTAAGCCAGTGGTTCTCAACCTTCCTAATGCCGCGACGCTTTAATACAGTTCCTCCCATCATGGTGACCCCCCAACCATAAAATTATTTTCGTTGCTACTTCATAACTATAATTTTGCTACTGTTATGAATAGGGTGACCCCTGTGAAAGGGTCGTTTGATCCCCCAAAGGGGTCGTGACCCACAGGTTGAGAACTGCTACCCTAAGTAATCAAAAAGATATGGACTGCCATCAACAGAAGTATAGTCTGAAACTAGTGAGTTGACATAACTCATTATCTGGCAAATGAAAGGATTTTGATGCAACTAAAACCGCAGTTAAATCTAAGCAGGCTACAGTAACGGACTCTGACACACGGTACAGCAATAAATCCAGCACTCCATCAGTATTTGTATGAGTAATTCCAGTTTTAGATTACACGATAACCCAAAGTGCGAGCTTAGAGAGGATGGCAATGCAAGAGAAAATGAACAGATTGAGCCTGGAAGTAAGTCAATGTTGTCAATCATTATGTAGGTGACAGAAGTAAAACAAGAGAAAAAATATGTTTTAGCATTGGCCATTGCAGACAGCTCAGCTTATTAACACTTACTAAGTCATGACACTATAAAAGTCTACATAAAAATAAAATAACGTCTCAGGACAGAGCTCAGGTATTCCAGTGCGTTCATCTAATACTTCCTATGATCTAAGGATGCCCTTTCTGCCCAGAGACGTTGTTGCAGCAAGTCCATCAGCTTTTGCCCTGGAGTCAAAAGAATCACTGTCTTCCCAAACCCAAAGTATTTTGTCCTCACATAAGGTGACTGGGCCTAAGAGACCCTCACACTGGCACAAGAAATCTACTGCTCAAACTCTCTAAAGGAAACCCCATCTTGGGATATGGAGATATTACTTAGTTGAGCACACAAGATGTTGCCTTTATAAGAACGAATGGTGCTTCAAAGAAGAAGGTGCCTACTCAGGCCCTGCGTGGTGCAAACGGTCCACATACTTAGCTGCTAACTGAAGACTGGAGGTTAGAATGCAACCAGGCAGAGGTCCTGTGGAGGAAAGGTTTGGCTCATCCGTACAACAAAAATCAGTCAAGGAAAGCCCTATGGAGCACCCCTGTATCCTGACACACCAGGGCAACTATTATTATTATTATTATTATTTGTGTGTTTAATAATAAGAAATGTAAAGGGAAGGTTTTTCTCTCTTGCTGGGCACCTGGAAGTAGCCCTGTATATTTGGTCACGTTATAAGAATAGAAATAGTATCTTTTGTTTGACAGAGCCATGCCAAATAAAATAGATTAGAAGGAAGAAAATGTTCTTACCTTGTCTTTCAGTTTTTCCATCCAGTTTCTCACTAGAAAACAGAAGAGAATAAAGTGTGAAATGCCAATTTGTGCTTGTATGTCAGAGTATTATGTTAACAAAACAGCCCGATGAAGGTTCCATTGTATGAACGACAGTCAAAGGACTCATAGTATTAGCATGTGTCAGGAAGGGCCTGGTTTATGTTCTTTCTTTAAGAAGGCAGCAGATAGCACAAACCTTCCCCTCATCACTGTTTGATGAACGGGATATTGTTGTTTGCCAAATGCTTTAAGGGAAAGTCTGAAAATAGAACATAGAAATCACCTTTAAAATTTCAAGATTTTTTTTAAATGTAACATTTTTTCTTTAGCTTTATTTCCCATCTTTCTCAGTGTTAAGCTCCATAGGAATGTGCTCCTTGAATGGATGCCAGAGAGCAAAGATTAATACAAGAAAGGGCAATGGGCAAGCTAAGGCTGGCCAGACTGGCTCCTATGAGAAGCACTTGCACTCATATTTGAACAGAGAGAATCAGACCAAAGGCAAGAATAGAAAAGTGTTCCTGAATTATGTTTAGCTTGAAAACTGTCGCATTCTCTCACAACATAAACACTATGAGAAATAAAAGCAACAAGCAAGTAATATTTATAAGCACAACTGCAAAGGTATGCATCCGCAGTGAAAGCTAATGTAGACCAGGATCATAACCATGTAAAAACATCTCTGTCAAGTGTGGAAGACAGTGCCCAGAAAATGAAAATGTGTTAGAACAGCGATGCTAAGGATGGTTTCAGATTGGGGTAGAGTTGTTCCCCCATAACTGCCTGTCAAAGTCATCCTTATGTTTCAACACAACGAAATTTCATTTTTTTTAAAGCACAAAAAGGGATTAAAAAAAGACAAATATACCTTCATCTTTTTTACTCTTCTTACCAGGCCAGAGAAATGTGTTTTTGTTTTTGTATTTTAAAGATTATTTTATTGGGGGCTATTACAGCTCTTATAACAATCCATGTATCAATTGTATCAAGCATATTTGTACATATGTTGCCATCACGACCCTATTGGACAGAACAAACTGTTCCTACTGGTTTACAAGGCTGTAAATCTTTACATGAGTAGAAAGCATCATCTTTCTCCTACAGAATGACTGATGGGTTTGAACTGCTGACCTTGCAGTTAGCTGCCCAACCCGTAACCCACTAGGCCATGAGGGCTCCTTTAGAATTACTAAACTCTTACTGCCAACAAGTCAATTAGACGTCTTTAAATTCTCTTTCCTCTTTAGGAGATTCAACAAATGGGAAAGGACGGAGACCGAGTGGTAGACCCCAAAATGAGTACACTAGGAGCCCTCAAACTTCTTCTTAAAAAGATCAGATAGCATTATTTTTGTCCTTATGGGATGTGTAGTCTATGTCAAAATTACTCAGCTTGGCTCTGGCAGCTCAAAAGCAACTCCATATAATATGTAAACAAAAGGGGTCCCAATAAAATTCACGTTATGAGCACTACTAAAATTTAAATTTCATATCATGTTCCTGTCACAGATTTTTCTTACATCATTTTAAAACATTAAAAAATCACTCTGCTCACAGGCCATACAGAAGCAGGTGCCAGCTTTGGCTGGTGGGCAGTTATGCTAACTGTGGCACAGACTTAGTTGACCCAAGATGTTGCCATCTCCACTTACAATTGGCATCTGGTAATAGTATATCTGATGGGAGTGCCGCCTGGCAAAGCACTCCATGTGTGTCGCATCCTTTGACCAGCTAACCACTAGCAAACACAGGGGGCGCCAAAAAAGTCATGGAGAAATTCCATTGTCTTTCATTCCTTTTCCACAAAATGTTGAAGTCGCCTCATATATGAGCTTTCTAAAGGATAAGATGAGGAAGTTGAGAGTCGGAGAAGCTAAGAGACTGGACCACGATTGGCCAACAAATGAAGTCACTAAAAGTCAAATGATGATCAGATTTAATGACCCATTGAAATTAGCATTACCATTTCTTTTGGTGATCTACTATTCTTGAACTTGCTCAGGTTGACAATGTGGCACTATCTTTGGCTCTACTATCTCCTTCAGCTCCAAGTCTCAATCTCCAGGTTAACTCTGACAAGGTCACCAAGCTTGTCCCTGTCTCATCACTCCTTCTGTCCCTATTGGGGTTCAGGTAACAGTGGCAGCGATCAATCCGCACAGGATCGGAGTAATAAGAAGGTCAGAGAGGAATGCCCTAGAGCCTCGAGGATATGGCGGGGATTGTGACTCTGAGAGACTCCAGGAAAAAGCGAGGTCATTCCCAATTAGCTAACTGACTTCAGAGAAATTAATGACCCTCCTGAACCCCTGTGTCCTCAAGTGAAAAATCAAGATGGTAACATGCCTTCATAGTTATTGTGAAGATTAAAAATAAAATGCAAAGCATCTCGTCTAGTACTTGATGTACAGAAACAAGAAAACTAGGGTAGGAGAGGAGAAAGAACAGCCAGTGAAATGTGACTATTTTTAACAAGTGTCAATTAAACGGAAGACATAAATTTAAATTCAAGCAATAGGATGATTCCAACTCATTCGTTCATCTTAAATATCTACTAATTTTTTAACATAACCCTCCACACTGTGTCAGTCAAGTGGTTAGAGGGAGCCATCCCTGGATTCCATGGGACAGAACTTCCCACTGGGGTTGCCTTGACCCCAACCTGTACAGAAGTCTCCATCCAATCGCAATGCTGCCTTTGTCTTCATACAGTCTAGTTTCTCGGATTCTTGGGTCAGCCTGCAGATTGTGATACGCAGATGACCAAGCCTTGCTTGCTAAAAGCAAGAGGATTTGAAGCGCTCACTGAAGAAGATCAAAGATGATAGTCTTCCATATGAATTACACCTCAGCATTAAAAATACATAAAATCTGGACCAAGAGACAACATTCTGGGTTTGGGGCATGCACTGAATTTAAGAACAATTAGTTCTTAGATTATGGCCCTGCTAGATACTCATCCTTGGGAAGGAAACAGAAGATATGGGTGCTAGAGCAAAGTGTGGCAAGGAAATTAGATGGTGCCAGGCTATCATATAAAATAGCGTCTGGGATCTAAAAGGCTTATTTCCAAAAGAGCAGCCATCTAACTGAGATGTCAACTAAACCCACATGGAAGAAGAACACCATCGGTGATCCAAGGATTGCAAATTATATAATCCAAAGTGAAGGAGGAAATAGTATCAGAGCTCATATTGTGAGATTCTAGTTTGCCAAAGACTATGGATGACAGTGAGACCCCCAAGATACATTTGTGAGATCTACAAAAGAAATAAGCCTCTGGTGATTTCCTTCTATCCAAAATGGAGAGATGGGAATACTCTGGTTACCAAACAGCACATTGGCGAGATGGCTATAGGAGATCAAAGTGATAGGCCTGACTGGAGCAGTTACAACCTTGTCAGTTGATTCTTTCCACACACACTGGGCCTGATATGATTTGTAACACTTTGTATGATGTTCTTTTCTTTTTTCCTGTTTCTTCATGTTGGAGTTTAGCTCTGACGGGTTTTGTCATTGGAGATAGGCCTCTTGACTTGTTCTATGTTTTTCTGGGTTTGGGTATATGAAAGCCAGGCAGGATCAATGAATTTATAGAGACAGCAAGTAGCATAAAGGTTCCTGGGAGGTAGGGTAAAGGGGAGATTATACCTCGGAGTTCAAGAAGAAGGAGAATTTTTTGGAAACTATGGTAGCCATTGTACAATACTGCTTAATGTGATTGAACTACAGAATGATATATCTGTATTACCTCCCAATACAAAGGATTTTTTTTTGGAGGGGGACAACATTCTGCTGAACAGAGAAATACTGAAGTTGTCAACAATTTTATTTAACTTGGATCCACAATAACTTGGATCCACATGGAAGCAGAAATGAAAAACAATCAAGCAACATATCGCATGGGCAAATCTACTGCAAAAGGCTTCTTTACAGTGTTAAAAAGGAAAAGCACTCTGAGGACTAAGTGGTGCCAGATCTAAGCCTTGGTATTTTCAGCCACCTCCGGTGCATATGAAAGCTAGACAGTGAATAAGGAAGAACAAAGAAATTTTTATAAATTTTAATTGTTATTGAAAAGGAATATTAAATATACCATAGACTGTCAGAAGAACAAAGAAACAGCCAGAAGACTGCTTACGAGTGAGGATGGTGCCGATTCCCCTGGCTTACTTTGGACCTGGTAGCTGGCGGCGTGAGTCCCTGACGAAGGACATCATGCTTGGTAAAACAGAAGGATGGGGAGAAAGGAAGACCCTTCGCGAGATGGACTGACGCAATGGCTGCAGCAATGGGCTCACACATACAGGGGTGGTGGAAGGCACAGAACTAGGCAGGGTTTCATTCTGCTAATCACCGGGTTGTAAGAGTCAGAACACACACAGGTTCACAACAACAAAAGAAGCCTGTCGCCAGGACCTTGTGCTGTAGAGCTGCTGTAGGGCCACCAGCCTTTCCGGCAGAGGAGCATTTATGCTCCTTCATCAGAGAGCAGGGAGACCTGCTGCTGGCAAGAAACGGGCTAGGCCATCAAGTCTAAGGGAAATGGATGACAATGCGGCAATGCAGGGGCAAAGAGTGAGGAGCAGAGCAGCAAAACCAATGACCAGGACAAAGGCATAACTTCAACCTGAAAGCAAGGTGTTTGGAATAAGAGAATAGGCTGTGTTATATAAAGAATCAAACCAGGTGGGAGCCAGGGTGCTGTGGAGGAGGCAGGCCACAGCATGCTCTAGGCAAAAGTCACCAGCCCTGAAGGTCTAGCAGATTACTGAGAGTGGTGGGATCAGGGTCGCGTGGAGGAGAGTGGTAACACAAAGGGCTGCTAACAGCAAAGTCAGCAGTTTGAAACCACCTTTCCTTTCAAGAAAGACAGCTTTCTACTACCATAAAGAGTTACCATCTCAGACACTCACTGGGGCAGTTCTACCCTGTCCTGTAAGGTCACGATGAGTCGGAATTGATTGGATGGCAGTGAGGTGTTTTGTTGTGTTGTGTTGTGTTGTGT